CGACACATGTCCACACGCGCGACACATGTCCACAGGCTCGACACCTGTCTARATGCTCGGCACATGTCTACATGCTCGACAACTGTCCAACTGACCCTTCCCCTCTCTCGGTCTCTTCTTCATCCCCAGGTCATAGGAGCCGTTGGAGGCAGGCTGCTGAGTCTTGGGCCTACGTCCACCTGTGGACACACAGAGACACATCATTACATGTGACCTCCTTCAGACGTCAGTATGATCTTTACAGTTCAGAGGAGCCTGTTGTGAGCAGAAGAAGTAGTGTCGTCCCACGCAGCAGGCTTTGTTTGAGGAAGTAGCCACACATGCTACATGTRAGCGTGTGTTAATCAACAAACCGTGGTTTTAGTTTGTTTAAAGAACACCACACAAGCCAAAGACATGCTGGACGGTACAGAAGGCCCTCCATCAGTGGAGACAGCAGACACTAGGCTACAGTGTGACTCTCACCTCCTCTCTTCTTCTTGGCAGCAGGTTCAATGTCAGGAACGATGGGGAAGGACTCCTCCTCGATGGATCCACACTCTGTGGACACTTCCACCACCGTCTCCATCATCACGTCCTCGACTAGAAACAGACACAAGCAGAAACAAATCACTGCACCGCAGTCAGGTGTTCAGTTCTTACAGAGCAGTTTATCAACAAGTCTTTTCAATAAGTCAGGAAGAAAGACAGGAAGTGAACTAAACAGATTCTGCTCAGCTGATTCAAATGTATTTAACAGCACACTTGTTTTTATTTAGACTTTGAATGAAAACCTAAGACACTTAAAACTACAAGCAGTAGAATATAAAATTAAACCTGTATCATAATTTGTATCATATTTGCTACGCAGGATTCTGTGACCTATATTTTATCAARGTGATCAATATTTTCCWCAAAAACCTGTTGTATATGATGTGAMACCTGTATTCTGCCCTCTGGTGGATTAACAGTGTACTGCAGGAAGTGGAACTTCTTTTTTCCTTTTCAAAATGTCTGCTGACATGAGGTCATCCATACATTTTTTCCAGGAAAACTTTTGCTAATTTTGGAGAAGTTATGGTAAGAATAACATCAATATTGTTTGTAATTTTTTAAATAAATACTTTGTGTTGAAACAATGCATAATTACTTAAAAATATTTTTAATAGTACAGTTAAAATGTGTTAAAATGTGTGTATCAAACTTGATACTGCAGGTATATAAGTTTTGCCAGTATGTGACATTTTAGTAATTTAATCAAAAGTATTCTTGCCACAATACAACCACACACTATTTTGGATGATTAATTACTGAAAAGAAAAAAATAGTGTAGGTCTTCTGGACGGGTTCTTCTCTAATGAAACGTTTCGTCTCTCCTCCAAGAGACTTCTTCAGTCTGAGAGTTTCAGGCTAAATTCAGGCTTTGAAGTCCTGCCTCCAGGTGACTGATACTCACATCACATGGCTATCGTTGATACCTAATTAACACTTATTGTTTACAGGGGGTGGAGTGATACTGCCAATAGCAGCTCTGTAGGAGGAGGACAGCTGAAAACAGAGGCCTCCACCTCTGTTTAATGATGGACGGTCTTTCTTCACAAAAATGGCTTCTTTTACTCCTCTCTCAAACCAACGTTCCTCTCTATCAAGAATGAGAACATCCTCATCTCTGAAAGAGTGACCGCTGGCCTGTAAATGAGTGAAAACTGCAGAGTTCTGGCCATTAGATGTAGCTCGTCTGTGTTGGGACATTCTTTTGAACAGTGGCTGCTTTGTTTCCCCGATGTATAACTGGTCGCAGTCCTCCTGGCACTTAACAGCATATACAARATTGCTCTGTTTGTGCCGGGGCACCGGATCTTTGGGGTGAACCAGCCTTTGCCYTAATGTGTTTTGGGGTTTGAAAGCTACTGGGACATCATGTTTAGAAAATAAACGTCTCAGTTTCTCCGAAACACCCGCAACATACGGAATAACCACTGGTTTGGGTCTGGGTTTGGGGTCTTCATTTTCACCTGAAGGTTGCATGGAATCCTGTCTGTGTTTCCTGTCTGCTTTCAGGAAAGCCCAGTCCGGATAACCACACTGCTCCAGGGCCTGTCGTGTGTGTGATTTCTCTTTCTGCCTGGCTCCTGGGTTTGTAGGGACACTGTCTGCTCTGTGGTACAGAGTCCTGATCACTCCTAACTTGTGTTCCAGTGGGTGGTGGGAGTCAAAARGCAAATATTGGTCTGTGTGGGTGGGCTTACGATACACGCCAGTTTCCAACCGTCCTCCATCTGAAACCGAGACATCGCAATCCAGGAACGCCAACCTGCCATTTTTTACATCCTCTCGTGTGAACTTAATATATTCATCCACAGAGTTGATGTGATCAGTGAAATGTTGGACTTCCTGGGCTTTCATTTTAACCCAGGTGTCGTCAACATATCTGAACCAATGGCTCGGTGGCACCCCTGAAAAGGACATCAAGGCTCTCTTTTCCACTTCCTCCATGTACAGGTTTGCAACAATAGGAGAAACTGGGGATCCCATGGCACACCCATGTTTCTGCCTAAAATATTGCCCCCCATGCTGTTAAGTGCCAGGAGGACTGCGACCAGTTATACATCGGGGAAACAAAGCAGCCACTGTTCAAAAGAATGTCCCAACACAGACGAGCTACATCTAATGGRCAGAACTCTGCAGTTTTCACTCATTTACAGGCCAGCGGTCACTCTTTCAGYGATGAGGATGTTCTCATTCTTGATAGAGAGGAACGTTGGTTTGAGAGAGGAGTAAAAGAAGCCATTTTTGTGAAGAAAGACCGTCCGTCATTAAACAGAGGTGGAGGCCTCCGTTTTCAGCTGTCCTCCTCCTACAGCGCGGCCATTGCCAGTATCACTCCACCCCCTGTTAACAATAGGTGTTAATTAGGTGTCAATGATAGCCATGTGATGTGAGTATCAGTCACATGGAGGCAGGYCTTAAAAGCCTGAATTTAGCCTGAAACTCTCAGACTGAAGAAGTCTCTTGGAGGAGAGACGAAACGTTTCATTAGAGAAGAACCCGTCCAGAAGACCTATACTATTTTTTTCTTTTTGATTTTTTACCTGGATTACTGAGATGCATCAGGACAAAGAAAAACTTCCTAGAGTGTCCTAAACTTGTTAAAAGTTCTGGGCAAAACTGTCTTTTGTTTCTTAACTTTGTTGTGAGCAAAATGTTACCAAAACAGCCCAGTGTATCAGAATTGATACAAAAATAGATCATAAACAAAGTGATGTGGCATGAAAAAAATTATTTGGATTTTGTTTAAAGGCCCAAAAAACATGTCAGTTCTAAAAAATGAGAATTTTCTGACTATTTTTTAAAGAGTTAGGCTTAAGATAAGAAAAATAAAATTGGTTTAAAAATGTGGCAAGTTAATTATGTCAAAATAATATTTGTGTCAGTTGTTTTAGATTTTGTTTTATTATCACTTCTTTTATTACACTGGGTTCTGTATGTAGTATTCATGATTAAAGTATTTCAAAGCTAACAGATGTCTGTAACACTTGGTTTATTTACATAATGACTATAACTGCTGGATGCTGGGCCCCTCAGCTGGTGACCTGCAGTAACTGTGACCCTCGGAGCAGTTTAGATGAAAAACCCTGCTCTAAATGCACGTAACAGCTTTTATTTTCCACACTAATAATGTAAGTTAGTCTGCATACAGCGGGGGTCTTACCTGTGCTGCGCTCACTGTGCAGACCTCCAGGAGACTCCATGTGGAGCAGAGCCTCAGCTGCCTCAAAGGTTTTGTCAAAACACATGATGTCTGGACCTGAGCAGAGCAGAGAGGACGGGTCAGAACTTCCTGCAGAGCAGAGCTCAGGGACACACTGCTCCTCCCTTCCTGTTTCCTGTGATGAGGAGCAGAGCCTGGTTCCTGCCAGCAGAGGGCGCTCTACGAGCAGCTCACCTGTCTCTGCCACCTCTGTGACCACTTCCTGCTCCTCAGCCACATCCTGCATCAGGTAGGTGCCGTCATCGTACACCAGGACCTGGGCTGAGTAGCACTCCTCCACCTGGGCGCTGGGCACCTCCTCCACGATGACAGCAGGGCAGCCTTCCTCCTGCAGCACCACCCCATCCTCCTCCTCCTCCTCCTCCTCCACCTCCTCGATGATTACAGCCTCCACTTCCTGCTGGACCACTTCCTCCTGCTCCTCCTCCTCAGTGGGCTCCTGTCCACAGCAGACACACACTCATCATGCATGTCCATGAGATGTGCAGCACATTGGTGTGTGTAGACTTTTAACACATTCAGGAACAAGAGCTCTGCCAACCAACTCCAGTCGTCACTGTTCCTACAAGACTCATGTTTCATTTAGCTTATATTTCATTTCATTAGTACAAACAAAAAGTGACATATCTCACATTTACTTCATGACTAGTCATAATTTAATTATTGGTATCTGAAGTACATGTTCCAGACTGTCAGTCATTTACTACAGTCATCATTAATGACAGTCTGCATACAACTTCATGTTAAATCTGTCATTTATACAACTTAGTGCTGGGTGGTATGACCTCACACTCATATCAGGGTATACACTGTATATATCACAGTAACTGTATATATATATC